GTACGCTAGCCTACCGTACGCCCCATTGAGTTTTGCTATTTAGACAAAGAATTAATCAGAGTTTGGGACATGATACTATACCCTAACCCCTAATGGGTGAATCCCAGTCCCCAATTCACTAACACAAAGCATGGGATTCGTTTAATCTTAAAAATGAAAATCAACGATCCTGATTCGTCGAAATTTTCATTGATTTTCATTTTTAAGATTAAACGAATCACATGCTTTGGGTTAGTGAATTGGGGACTGGGATTCACCCATTAGGGGTTAGGGTATAGTATCATGCCCCAAACTCTGGTTAATTCATGATCTATATAGCAAAAGTCAATGGGGCGTACGCTAACCTAGCATACGCCCGGGCATACACTAGCCTGAACCACATATATATATATATATAGAGAGAGAGATCTATGGTACCGCATTCCTTGAGTAAGAAAATGCTATCCAGAACTTAAATTAACTGATCTTTCTGACATTATATTATACTCTAACCCTTAAAGATCAAAATCTAGGTCTTAGTTCTCTAAATCTTTACCCCAAGATCAATTTAATTAGAAACAATAATCGACGGTTATGATTCGTCCAAATATAGGCAAAAAAATCAATGCACCATCTTAGGGTTAGGGTATAGTATCATGCCCAAAAATCCTGCTAATTCGAGGTCTAGATAGTGTTTTCATACTCAAAGTATGCGGTACCCCGGATTTCATCCAGGGTACCATAGAAGGCACTATATATATGTGTGTGTGTGTGTGTCGTGTAATGCCAATGGTCGTATAAAAATAATACAACTCTCTCATTCTGTGGATGTAGACTTCACACACCGTGAAGTTGAACCACGTTAAAATCATTCGTGTCTTTTAATCTTTCGCGCTACTCTAGATTTCTCAATTTGGTATTAGTCATGGGACGCCAGTGATTAATAGGTACAATTTATCACTAGAAATTATACGATGACTATTTATAACTAGTCACGGGACAAATTCACTGTGACCTTTGCAATTAGACACAGAGGTATATATTACGGTAATTTTTTCGTGTCTAAAACTATTAAACACGGAAAACACACTTTAAATACAGGATTTCCCGTGATTAAAGGATGTTTTTCCTGTAGTGTTGTGAACAGTAAGCATGTTTTATGTTTATATATATTAACGATGAAATCAACAATTTTATTACTGGAGCTACAATTTCATTAGCTTAACTTTCAATTTTGATTGTTCATTCAAAGAAAGAGACTCGATCGGCCAATATACTTGTTTTGATATTTCTCAAGAAATTTTAGGTACATAATCACCATAGAATATCATATGCAAGAAACTATGTCTCAGAAAATTTAACCGTATAGTGCAACGAACTTGAAACTAGTTAGAATATTAACTCAAATTTTCTCCTTAATGAAGAGAAAACAATGAAACGTGAAGCAAGTAAACCTAGCTCGTAGGCAAGCATAAAAAAACAAAGGAAAACCGTAGTGCGTAGGTATGCATATACTCTGCAGAGGAGTACACTTTCTCTTTTAAAATTCCAATCCACTGTACACAAGAACTAGCAATAGCATACATATAATCTTTGTTTTGCAAATTAATTTTTTTTGCTCTTGATAGTCACATATACATAGAACTTACCAAGGGCAAGCCCAAGTGGTAGAGAGAGTAGACAAATCTTCTGACCTTTTAGCACGTCCCACTCTCCATTCCTTTCACTTAAAAAGATATATAGTTAATTGATTATGGTAATGGTTTCAATCTCTATAGTCTTTCCCTTGGCAGGTAAACCTAGTACGTAGGTAACATTAAAACAATAAAAAAACAAAGGAGTATCCTAAGTATGTACTACGTATGCTTACATGGCGGAATCTATGGTGCCGGCTTATTTTGGCCGTAAGATATACGACATGAAATTATGGACTTTAATTTATAACCAGCATTTGACCAAAAGAGGTTGAACTTAATGTTAATGTTTCTGCTTGACTCTGGCTTTTATTGAAATTCTTTATTATAATATTTTTTAGGGATCTCCTACGGTAACTTGGGTATAATTTCAAGTTAGTTAACTTGTATAGATCTTAACCGTCAAAATAAATTGAAATTATTTTAAGCCATTGATTAAAAAAATAAAAACAAAAAAGAAAGACGGGCAACCAGCACCGCCCGGTCACCACTTTCCCCTTTTAGCTTCTTACGTAACAGTTAAATCAAAAGTTTTACGTAAGACTTACGTAATGGTTTAATACTTTACGTAACACTAAGTTAATTTTCATTACGTAAAAGGACCGTTCATTACGTAAGTCTTCCGTAATGACATTTTACAACTATTACGTAAAATACACATATATTCCGTAAAGGTTACGTAATGATAGTTATTTCTTACGTAACAGTTAAATCAGAAGCATTACGTAAGGTTTCCGTAATGACTTATCACTTTACATAACGCAAATGTATTCACTACGTAAAATGATCGTTTATTACGTAAGACTTCCATAATGGCACTATTACAACTGTTACGTAAAATACACACTCATTACGTAAAGTTCACGAACAACAGTTATTTTTTACGTAACAATTATATTTGAAGCGTTACATAAGGATTACGTAATGACTTAACACTTTACGTAATGCATAGTGAATATTCATTATGTAAGGCTTCCGTAATGACCTTTTACAACTGTTACGTAAGATAAGAATATATTACGTAACCATTACGTAACACCTGTTGTGTTTTACGTAATGCGACCTGGGAAACCTGCTATAGCAGGTAAAAATATTCAAGTCACCTTACTTCAAGTCACCATAGGAAATCCCTATTTTTTATTGTCTTTATTGTTATTAATATTTTCATGGGTAAATACAATTTAATATCCAAACCTTTCATTTTACACAATATAATAGCCAAACCATTTCGAAAACAATCTAATATCCAAATCGTCAACTTTTCGTTCGTTTGACCGTTAGTTGACACTTCAAAAAAGTTTTGTTTAGGGGAAATTGTCACAGTACAACTTTGTTTTCATGTTTTGGCATTGCAGATGACTGAATATTTAGATATTCTATACCATCATGGTGGAGTCATGGACTTCTCGGGTTTGGAACTACGATATTTTGGTGGTTTTTCAGAGAAGATATCGATGGATGTTGATGAAGTCTCGTACTTCGAACTTTTTTGAAGTGTCAACTAACGGTCAAACAGACAGAAAGTTGACGATTTGGATATTAAATTGTTTTCGAAAAGGTTTGACTATTATATTGTTTAAAATGAAAGATTTGGATATTAAATTGTATTTACCATATTTTCATCGCCCATCTTCGTCTTCTTGGAAGAGGAGGCTATCTTTATAATTTTGTCTTCTTCAATTCGTCGTTGGGTACAAATCCAATTAGATCAGTAGCTTTTACTGAGCGGCGATGAAGATACCTTTTCCATTTAAACACGGTCGAAATTTCTGGTTTGAAATCATTAGTTGGCAAAACAATTAAGTAATTTTAGACATTATTAAGATGCCTGACATACTAAATGGTATCTGGCTTTTGTTTTCGTTTTATTATGTATAGTGGCAGCGGCAAAGATGATGATGGTGGCCCGGCCACCATCATCATCTTTGCCGCTGCCACTATACATAATAAAACCCGGCCGGCCGGCTGAAATGCTGGTGATGGCTGGCTGAGGGCAACGACGGTCGACGGTGATGTTCATCTCCATCGAAGACGGTGTGAGGAGTTATCATTGGTTTGTTCACGGTCTTCTGTTTTCATTTTTCAAATTTTTTTTTGCTGTTATTAATTATTATATGATCAGACCTGGACCAATAATTCCAACCATAGAATCCCCGTACATATATATTCTCATAAAGGAATGAACTTTGTCTTACAAAATTCCATTCTCATATACACAAGAACTAGCGTACGTAGAGTTTTTTTTTTTTATACTGGATTTATTACGTTCTTTCCTTCAATAAAACAAGATGACAAGAAGAAATCTACAAATTGCCCATTTGAATACACTTCTATTCCAACTGCTACACAACCATCTTTGCTCAATATAAGTTTGAGGAATTCCCACTTGTTTCCTTTGTTGCTATAAATAGCCTCGAGGTTTTGTATGTCATGCATCCCAACTTCCTTGCACCAAAGTCCAACTTGGTGCTCTCCCAATAGAATCTACAGTAAAATTAACTCCAACCTAGTAATTTGATGTTGTGATCAATTTTAATAGTTTTCGTTTCTCTTGGAAAGATAAGTAGCAGTTAGCAAGCTGTTAAGTAACTCCACATTTCTTTCTCTTCGGAAGATATAGTTAATTTGTTATCATAATGAGTTTCAATCTCTACAGTCTGTCTCTGGTGAATCCTACCAGTCCTATTGTCATTCATTATAATCTTTTTCCAAAATTAGCTCCTCGCATAAATCGGAAGGTAGTAAGTATTCGTGCATCGGCTCATATTCCAGGGGTTCAAATACGGCGCTCTGCCAATTACCAGGCAACAATATGGAGTTACGAATTTCTCCAGTCCTTCAAGGTCAATAACATAAGAGATGTAAGTTCAATTGTTCTTCTCCTTAACAATTTTATTTTTGGAATTTCGGTTGAATTTCGCATTGGGTATATGCTTTGACAACCCTTGTAGAGTTTGGTGTGAGAATAGAGTCAAGACATAATTTTGTGTTGCACCAAATTAATTTGTTTAGGGGGCTAAGTTAACCGGTTTGTATTAACTATATAATGGTGGGTTTTGTTTTACGAATATTGAGCCAAAAGTGTAGAGACAAAGAGTGAAATGAAAGAAAGCGTGAGAGAGGTGTAGGCTTGTTATAAAATTAAAAGAGGATTTTTAATTTTACACAAGTTTAATTAAAGCCACTAGATTTTATAAATTTTGTAAGAGCATTCCCGATTTTAAAGTTACAATTACCACTTGTTTTTAGTAGAAGTTACTAATTCATGTGAATTATCAGGATCAAGTGTACAAAAGCAGGGTAGTGATACTGGAGAGAGAGATCAAAATGATTCTGAATAGTGATACAAAGGAGGAGAATTCATTACTAATGCTAGAGTTGATTGATGATATCCAAAGATCAGGCTTGACCCACCGATTTGAGACCGATATACAAAAAGCTCTTGAGAAGATTGTGTGTTTCGATAAATGTTACACAATGAAAAATAATTCTCTCCACGAGGTCGGTCTTCACTTCAGGCTTCTTAGACAAAATGATTGTGTTGTTTCACAAGGTATTATAATTTTGTATTCTTTATCTTATTCAATTAAGAAAAGTATGATAATGATATAGTGTTTATCCAGATGTGTTCAAGAAATTTGTGAGTGACAAAGGTGAAATCATCATAAAAGGATGCTGCAACGGGCATGAGGATTTGAAAGATATTTTAAGTTTGTATGAAGCATCACATCTTGCCTATGAAGGTGAAGACATATTGGATAAGGCTAAGACACATACAACTAAATACCTCAAAAACATCTTGTTGGAAATGGACTCTAGTGATAATTATGAATTCATGAAAGAACTTATTCGACACTCTCTAGAGATTCCACTACATAGGAGAATGGTTATGTTAGAAGCAAGATGGTATATTGAATCATGCAAGAAGAAGGAAGGAACGAACATGACCTTGCTTGAACTAGCCAAGTTAGAGTTCAACATGGCGCAGTCAGTACTCCAACAAGATCTGAAGAGCGTATCATGGTAATGAAAATTTCCTTTTTTCATTATCAAAAAATAAATATTTCATTATATATCAAAAAATGAAATTTTCATTTTTCCTCGTGCAATTAGGTTTGTGGTGGATCTAGTGAGTAGCTCATGATAATTTGATATACAGACTTGTTATCATTGATAACGCACTTCAAATATTATTTTCCTAGTTTGGCTCGTAATTTATCAAATGTGGAATCTTCAAAGTTAAAGGCAAATATGTAGATAGTGTTGCAAGGATAGAAATTTTGATGATTAATTAACATTTGATTCAAAAATTTAATTTGAAGGTGGTGGAACAATCTGGGGTTAGCAAAAGAGCTGAGTTTCAGTAGAGACAGATTGGTGGAATGCTTTTTCGTGGCAGTTTCACTAATGTACGAGCCCCAATTCAGCTCATATCGTCAGGGTTTAACAAAAGTTGCCTCATTCATTACTACAATTGATGATATTTATGACATTTATGGCACAATGAGTGAGCTAGAGCTATTTACCGATGCAGTAGAGAGGTAATATTTCGTTTTCTTCTTAAAAAATAGACCACATCTACTTCAAAATATACATTATGTACATTGAATTTAAATCTCAATAAATTCTTATGAATGTTTATTTTTTATTCATGATATTATGGCATCTATTTTCCTAATGTTTAGAAAAGTTCTAGAAATATTTAAATAGTTACTTGGGTATATATTTCAGGTGGGACATTGATGTTGTTCAGAGCTTACCGAACTACATGAAAATATGCTTCTTAGCGTTGTATAATACCATTAATGAAATGGCTTATGGATTTCTCCGAAAACATGAGCATAACATTATCCCCAACCTGGCCAAATTGGTATGATTAATTGGACCATATCACATACACTGTTTGCTTATTATAACTCACTAATCAATGAAGTGTTTTTTGTTGTTTTAGTGGGCTGATATGTTGAAGGCATTCTTGAAAGAAGCAAAGTGGAGCCATAAGGAGATTGACCCACCAACATTCTCTGAATATTTGGAAAATGCATGGAGATCTGTATCAGGAACGGTCATTCTTGTACATACTTACTATCTTCTAGATGGTGATGAAAACATGAATGATTTTGATTCCACGAAAAAGACATTGTTGCAGTTAATGACCTATGATAAAATTCTTCGATGGCCATCTATCATTTTTCGCCTTTGCAACGATCTGGCAACCTCCTCGGTAAGATCATCGTACTAATATATTATTATGTGACCAAAATTACAACTTAGCGTGAAAATCTAGATAATGTTATTGGAAAGACATAAACAATTTGGAGAGATAGAATTTGCTCAGACTTGAGTCGTCCCTTTAACGACTGCTAAAATTCGAATAATGTGAACATCGAATTGACTACCACCTCATCCAGTAGAAACTCAGAACTCAAACTCTGGCCCATTCTCATGCAATTAGAGTCTTATTGGTTAAGCAATGTGTAAAATGTCTATCTACTCATTCTTCTTATAAAGAAAGCATTAAGAGAGCTTTGGGATTCGTTATTGAGTATCATATATTAATCATGAGAGGTCTCATCATGGTTCTATTTATAGCAACCCAATCAACCCCTTATGCCTATGGGTGTAGTACCTGACTTTAGGGATTTAGCAAGGGCTAAAAACAAACATACACAAAAGTGATTAAGATTTGTGCAACATGTCAGACGAAATGTAACAAAGATGGTAGACACTTGCATAGAAAACTTTAATATTGTCAGTTTCAATAGAAAATTTTCATATCTAAGGACTTGAATAACACTATTGATTAATTTCAGGACTTAATCGTTACTTTAATGAAATAAAAGTGCAACACTATAATTTTTCTCAAAGTTTATTGCCGGAAAATTAAAATTTTCAATATGATGAATTTAATATACCACAAGTACACTACAATGTAAAGCAAATAATTGGGAGGATTTGAACCAATTAAGTAGGCAATTTATGCGATATATAATCTTGAAGGTCTCACTAGTTTCACAATTGTTGAGCTACGTTGATATGGGGTTTTTATATATACATTTTTTTTATACAAAGGCTCATTGCGGTCTTAATGATGATCCAGGAGGAAATAGCGAGAGGTGGAACGGTGAACTCCATCTCCTGCTACATGAATGACAATGGAGTTAACGAGGAGCAAGCTAGGCAACACATAAAGGTTTTGATCGATGGAGCGTGGAAGAAGATGAACCAAGAGCTGTTTTTTATCACAAAGGATACAATCGGTTCAAATGCGTTCATGAAATCTTTTCTACAATCAACGATCAATTTAGCAAGGATGGCTCATTGCATTTATCATAGAGGAGATAGCCACAGCTCTCCAGATCCAAAGTCAAAGAAGGAAGTCCTGACCCTCATAGTTGAGCCCATCACAGATTAAGAACATGTTGATCACTGTGAATCTCCTATGATATGTAGCTAATGTCATGTCTGAGTGATCTTGACTCTTGAGTTTGTATTGCTATTATTCGTAATTCTAGTTTATAAGTATATTTTACATCCCATATTAAATAATCTCCTCGGTTTTGGGGCCACGCTTTTTTTCTTTCGTGATTTAGGGTCATGATGAGGAACAACTTCTTAATAGCACTTCGTATTTATTAAAAGGGTCATTTTCTTGTTTGATTATGGTGATGGATTTGAGTATCTAATTTAAACCATTTTGGATTTAGGAAGGAACCCCATGTTTGTTGAAGAAATTTATAGGTGACCAAATTGTCGGGATCCACAAATTTGGAGGTTATAATGATTTGGAGGAACCCATGTTTGCCTTAGTGGGCTTATAAGTTGAAGGCTTTCCTAACTGAGCGAAGTAAAGTTGTAAGAAGTGGAACCCTCCAACATTTTCTAAATACATAGAAAATGCATGTAGATATGTTTTGGGAACTGTCTTATGGTCCACACATTTTTTTAGATGATGATGAACTTATGGATGATAATATTAACTAGAATTGTGGCCAGCGCTCCGCTGCGGAACGCCTAATTTTGGTGATTACCATATAGTTCCTGTAGGAGTAGTTAAGCATAGTTTTATCCTTGAAACAAATGATCATGAAACAAATAAAGTCCAAAACTGTCAATCCCTTTCCCTACTGAATTGTTTCTTATTCTACTTGTCATTGCATCCCAGCTCAAACAAATCTCGTAGTTGTTGTCCTCTAAACAGAGATCACAATTCAGAAACTCTCAGCAACATTAGTAGGAGCCAGCAGTGCCTCACCCCCTAAAGGACTGACTATTGGTGCAAAACAGCCGCTGATTAAATCATAATTGATGTTTGGCAATGGCAATTCTCAAGTGTTTAATAGCATAGGGAGATATGGCTATGAAAATATCATATAGATTGGTTTTTCAATAGCAGAACATAACACAGACATGTCTAATTAACAACCAAATCCAATTTGAAAACGTTTGGAGATTATGATAGTAGCTCATTTTCATGCTGGTTACTGTCTGGGCTCGTCCCTGTCAATTTCCATGGCTTCTGCAATAGGAGTATATGTTTTGGTTAACTGTAGTACGTAAGCAAGCATAGTAGTAATTATATGGTTGCTATTATTTTGATGATAGAAACTTAATTGATCACCTGTATGAGACTCAGTTGTTGCATTGACATCCAAAAAGGTTTCTTCATATACTATGTTTCTGGTGTAGTATGGTGGAATTTCTCCGTCATTGTCAACCAGTATATGCAGACCATCAGCCGATCGAACTCGTGAAACAGCTACGTATAGTTGTCCATGACTGAACACCGGCTTTGGTAAGTAAACACCCACTATATCGAGGCTTTGTCCTTGACTCTTGTTTATAGTCATTGCATAGCACAACCTGATTGGAAACTGTCTCCTCTTTAAGATGAACGGCCAACGATGTTGAGTTACATTGAGCACAATTCTAGGAATAGCAACTGTTGTATTGTCATATGATCCTCCAATAATATCACCTCGAATCACGTTTTCACCCAAATGTGTTATCATGATCCTTGTCCCGTTGCAAAGGCCAATAGATGGATTCAGGTTAAGAAGAAGGATCACTGGAGTTGAGACCTTCAATTGTATTTCATGTTCTGGGACACCGTTGAATGATAAGCTGTTCAAGAATTCTGTTGGATATTCTTCTTCTAAGTTACTCTTGTTTGCTGTGTCACCTTCGAGGGAATCAGAACTGTAATATGTCGTGGCACAACCCTTGAGTTTATCTAACATATAGGCATTAATCTCTGAAACCGTGCGATTTGTAGGCGTTACTATAGCTCGATTCTGAATATACCTGGTATCTTCATAGTTAGCCATAAAATCATTATAAACGACATCAGTAATTGCTTCAATCTTGTTTCCTGTATGAGGGATGAGAAACTTATCTGGTAGTTGTATCCAGTCTGTGAAAGTAGATGATTCGAATGCTGTTTGCTTGATCGTTCCATTGCCAATAGCCAACACCCAGTCTTGAAATGTTCTCCCTTCATATAGTGGCAGAAGGTTGTTTGGGTTGGAGTTTATTCTCATGTTGACTGTCAAAGGCAAGACCTTGAAGTGTGGCCAAAGATGCGATCTTGTTAGAGAAGAATCAATACTTTGTTCCCGGCCCCCATCAACAACAACAGGTAACGTTTGCCTGAAATCGCCACCCAAAAGAATGCACTTCCCCCCAAAAGGCTTGTAACCCTCTCCACTCAATGGGGTGTTCATGATGTCACAGAATGTTCGATCCATTGCCTCAAAAGAGAATCGATGTGTCATTGGAGCTTCATCCCAAACTATAAGAGCCGCCTCTTGTATTAGTTGAGCAAGATGTGTCCCCTTCTTAACAGCGCAAGTAGAAGTATGATCTAAGTCTAGAGGTATTTTAAACCTATAATGAGCTGTTGTTGCATCTGGTAATAATGTAGCAGCAATACCTGATGAAGCAACTACCAGAACAATTTTTTTCATACTTCTGAGCTTGCATATGATGGTATCATATAAGAATGTCTTACCTGTACCGCCATGACCATAGAGGAAAAATAGTGATCCTTGTGCCAAAAGCACCGAATTGTAAACAGCATCATATGCGTACCTTTGCTCTTCATTTAATGAATGCAACAGTGAAGTAGCTCTCAAATTCTGTTCGTTGATGTCATAATCTAGCTGTTCAGCAATGAGACTATTCATAGTATAGTCACAGTCACTCAATTCTGGTGTTGGTAGGCCAAAATGCTGTAAAGTGGTAGAATAGTAACTGAGAAGTCGTTGTAGCTCAAGTAGTACAGAATTTTGCAAAGAGCTTGATGGTGGATCGAAGTATACGGAAGAGCTTTGTCGTCGAGCTGTATAAGCCATGTCATCTGCCATGTGTTCCCAATATTTGTGAAACAGATCAAGTGGTTCTGTAATTTCATAGAATATGAGCAAAGAAATAAAGGTAGAGCGTATTAAAGACGGCTGCCCCCATTGACAGACTTCTTGCAACACAGCTGTCCACTCTTGATCTGTTGAAAGTAATCCCAATTTTTGGCATGCGATTTTATATGTGCGACATACCACATTGTTCACCTTCCTAAGGTCTCTAAAGCTCTTAGCACCTTTAGCTTTTGTTAAAAGCATTCTCAAATAGACCACATCATCAACCCCTGGAGGGATGGATACTATTCTGCCAATCTGGAATCCTCTTTTCCTCAAAAACCAATCACGTTTTCTAGAGTCCCAAACGTATTTGTTTGGTATTTCAGCATAGGTAAGTGTTCTAGCACTTGGATCAGTTCTATTAAGCTTGAACCACTGGGTTAGCATAGTATTTTCCACTCCTTTACGCTGCAGTACCCCTTCCAAAGGTTCCTCCTCATTATATGGGACGACATGCTTATTTTTGAGATGCACGCAAAGCCGTAACACTGATGGCGTCCTTTCATGTATTGGAAATTCATAGAGCCGCCAAGCTGCTTCATAGGATGACAAATAACGACAATCCAGATACTGTTTAATTTCATCAATAGGAGGTTGCACATCTGCTGACCTGGAACTTGTGTTTGTAGCTTGTACCAAAGATCTATCAGGTCCTTTAGTAAGGTACTTGAAGAGGTATTTGATCAGCCTTCCTCTGTGGCAAATTTCCACATTAATATGTGCCTGCAACCATACTAAAAGGTCTCTGTTGAATGGGACAACATATCTATTATCAAGTCTTGTTCCTCCTTTTTCAACTGAAATTCCAGTATCCCTTCTTTTATAGACAATGTACCCGAACCGGTCATATGTAGTCTCTGAGGTAAAAGCTTTTGGGAAATGCTTTGAACAACGACCATCTTTCATGCAAGGCGATGAAGTATTTGCTTGACCGCATGGCCCATGTAGCATGAATTTTGTGACTGCTTCATAGCCGACTGGATCAATAGATGGATCTGGTATCTCACTACTAATTATTCTATCAATATCTGCAATGTCTTTGGGCTTATCCGAGTCTGCTAGCCACACCAGAATATGCACATGAGGAAGGCCTCTTTTCTAGAACTCTATGGTATGTAAATCTGGGAATTAAACATGTCCTTCGTTATGCTATTATCATTATAAATTGAATTCAGTACAAAGAAATATTATATCATGCTTTCATACCTGCCACAGTTGTACCGAAGAACTTCTCCTTAACTATGCGGTCCTTCAAAGCTTTCAACTTCATTCTGAATACTCTATCCACTATATGTGGTTTATCTTCACTTCGAAGTCCGACTGTATTCTCGAATGCATGTACTATTTCGGGCCATTGGGCATTGCAGGTGAATGTAATGAACAGGTCTGGATTTCCAAAATATTGACAGATCGCCATTGCATCCAGGTACAATTGCTTCATATACCGGGGACTCCCTGTATATGAAGAAGGTAATATAATCCAGCCTAAATTTTTACCTGTTACTTCACCTGCTTGGAATGCATCATATAATCCTTGAAATATCACTGATCGCAATACATCCTGATTTTTCCTGATGAATAGTAGTCGATTATTTTCAATCGAGCAGAATGCATCTATGATGTAGTGCTGTACAACTTTCCCACCCCTAAGTAGTGTAGTTCCTTACTGTCTCGATGTTGCAGACGAAAAGAATAGTACTCTCTTTGAGTCATGCACTTTCTATGTGCTGATGGATTAAGTACTTCTTGAGCATATGATATGCATGTATGGTAGCCATCTTCTCCGTACGGAAAGAGCAGAGGAAAATGTAATGCATCATATTTGGGGTTCAAACTCGTGATACGTCTTAGGCCTTCACTTCTGTGTTCAACAATAATATCTCTATCGCGTTTCTCAGGATGGAAATCTCCAGGTATAAGGCCTGCAACTTCTTCCCCTGTAGGTAACTCATACTGTCTTGCATTCTGTATTCTAGAACCCACTATTCTCAAGCGCAGATTTTCATTTGCAGGATCCTGTAGACATTGTCTTACTCTTCTGAAGCTTCGTACCAACTCATTTGTCTCATCTAGCATTTGTATCAGCCCCTCTACAATTTCTGGTAGTAATACATTGTCATTATTTGAGAAGTTTGCCATCCTTTCTTCAACTTCTGTAGATGGATCAAAGATGTATAATTGAGCAAATTTCGGTCTTTGTCCGATAGGTGGTAATAAAGAACCTATTCGATGATAGTTCTCACCACATATTACCATTGAGTAGGGTCCTCTAGAACTGAATAGTCGTGGATCAAGCTGTGCACCAATTGATGTAAATGAGAATGCAGCATTGTATGGTCGTCGATGCTTCGCAAAGTGAGTGGACATTGAATCGCCGTTGACATCAAGAAGCTTATCCAGAAAAGGCGGTGTCGACTTAAGAAGTGGCAGCTGAATTTTTCCTTGCTGACAACACAATGCGAAGATTGGTGAGTTGCTTCTTCTATGATAGTTGAGTTGTTCTTGCGGCCAAAAGCGTGTACCACAGTGTGTGCAAGCTATGGTAGGTAATCCCAAATCAAGGATGATATTATTGAGTACTGGTGGCAGAGGAGGAATTTGTTGTACTGAAGCGACTGGTTCATTCTCCATTTGTGTATCCACATTATTTTCTGTTTCTTGGCCTATGAACATGGCAGCTGCTGAAGCTTGTTGTGCTGGACATGAGAATGGATTAGATGATGTAAGACCGAACAGCCGTGAGCGCCTATCAATCCCTGATTTCCTTCTTTTTCGCAATGGCGTTGCTGAAGGCATATCTGTTATTTCTGGTGTAGGTCGCTTCGTCGATGGCCTAAGAATCCCAGGCTTCCTTCGTTTTTGTTGTGGTTCATCCGTTGCCTCATTGGTTGAGTCCATGATTGTATAACAGCTAAGGAATCCTTAAAATAGTCAATCGCATGCCTACATATGATGTTTAAATGTAAGAAGTATTTGAGTGGTTGAAGACTTACCTACGATATGTTTTTAGTAGATGAGTCGATAACTTGTGCTGATCGTTGTAAATTCTCCTTGATCCGAAGTATATTCTGCTGCAACATCAGTGCAACAATTGTTGTTAATCAAAGCTTTGTGTCTGAAAATTTTATACACAGCAAGCACAAAATAGACAATGAAAGAAGAATCCATTAGAAGGAAGACATTGCAATGAAGACTTGAAGCAATTTCATACATACCGCTGTTGACGTATTTGGTGGCGGGAGAAGGAAGAGAATGATGGTGTCAAAGTGCAGGTTCGTGATTTTTCAGGTTCGTGAGTTTTCGTTGAAGTTGGGAGTAAAGGTTTGTATGGTGCGCCGCCGTTGTAGTGAAATAGGGTTTCAGAGCCGGAAGAGATTTTTGCGGCAGGCAAAAAAGTATTCGCTATATAGGAGTGCAAAGTTGTCGGAACTCCGAATTGAAGGCGTAAAATGTTGGGTGGTGGCAACAGGCGGAACTAAACCTGATTGGATCGACGCGGGCCTCGGCAGCAGATAGTAGGTATTGATGGCGACCATGTCATTAGCTACCGCCACCGGGCCAGCGAACTGTGACTGGCTGGAATCAATCAATTCCAAGGAAATAATAGAGATGGAGAGGGATTTCATTCAATGTCCGCCGCTGTGATCAGGCTGACTTTATTAATTCTTGCAAGGTAAAAGAAAGAGAGAGTTGGGGCGGAGCGGACAAATCAAGCAGAAGAGAACATTGGGGCATTTCGTAATGCTAAGAAGAAAGGGGAAGACATACAGAGAAGCAAGATGGGAATTGGTAAAGTTGGTTTTAATTGTCGTGGGTGTCTATTAGTGTAATGTTTATTCTTCTTTTAGTTTAGATGGGAATTGGTAAAGTTGGTTTTAATGTTTATTCTTCTATTAGTGGGTTTTTAATTTGTTTTTCATTTTCTCTTAGTTTGTATTAGTTTAGATCAAGGTTGTCAAACCGGTTTATGCCAGTGTGCCGGTTTAGCAAGTGGAATGGTTCAATCCGTGACACATACCGGTTTGTGCCGTTCAATATTACAAATAAAATTATAAATACCTAAACATATACTTGAATCCAACAAATAACACCAATATTTAACTTTTATACTCATAAAATAAATAATAAAATAATTTTTATGACCGGTACAGGTTGAACCAGGTACAACCGGTGGCACGCCGGCCGGCGTGACAACCATGGTTTAGACTAAGGTGGATGATGAGTTGGCTCCGTATTATAAAACCGTAGCTGATGTACCATAAACATGAACAATTGAACATTTTATATTAAAAACTGTGATTTAATCATGATTCAATCATTTCGTACCGGTCGGTAATTCATACTAAGTTAGCCTCCAGTAGAAGGTCACGAATTTCAATACTCACTTGGGACTATTTCTGGGTTAATTTTCTTATATCTGAAACAAAACTGGTCTTGACAAACTAAGTGGCTAGATTAAATATATCCGATGTCTCAGTTCTATAGATAGTTTAATCTGAATCCACTATTACATTCCAACAGCTCCGAATGGTAAAAAGAGAGTAATCTAAAGTAAAAATTGAAATAGAAATTGTTTAAGGAAAAAGAGCAACAAAAGATTCTTCTAAAAGTTCTGATAAATGCTGAGTTATTCCTAACTCGTCAATTTGGTTGAAGGCCTTCGTGTCCTTTTCCCAATGGCTTGAGAAGCAGCTGTTGCTCGAGAATCCTTCTCCTTTGGGTTGGATTTAGGCAGGGCATCAAGTTTTTCCTTTTTTTATTTTTGCCAATGGTGCGTGAATGCTGCACATTGAAAGAAGGATTAATGAAGAAGACAAATTGATGCCCATGCACGAAAACAAAGATTTATGAAAAAGGAAATACAGAGTTGAAAATCTCAAATGATTTCGATTAGTCCTACTTCAATCATACAAAGCCAACCCATTTCAGCATGAATTAATACTTAGAACTGTGAAAACAGAAAGCTCCATCGAATAACAGAAATTCTGACGTAAAGGACTTTGAACTGGTAAGTAAAAGGTTGTATATAAGGATGCTAAAATCTAGTCTTGCTAAATCGGCAATCAAATTGGGAAAGCCAAGAACCTAAATTATCAGTTGTTTTCAAATCCTAAGCTGTCAATTAAACCAGACATATAGAATCACATACTGGCAGGATGATAATTCTTACTTGGAAGCTGAAGTGACAGTGCTATGGGATTGGATCTTAGTAGAATTCTTCTCAAGGTCAATCACCTCTGAACTTAGTGGGGGTGGAACAGAAGTTGCGGATTGTGAAGTTGGCCTAGTATTATTGAAAAATATCATTAGTATTAGTGTTATGTATAAATTAAACCTAAAGGGAGTAAAGAAATTATCACCCAACGACTGTTTGGAAGAAATGACAACATACTTGGAATTTGTACGTTTTATCTTTGTCGAGTCAACTTCGATGACTTGGTCAGCTTCATGCTTCCGTTTGGCAGTTGTCCTGATTCAAGGAAAACCGTTAGCCTTCCAAATTGCACTTATGTTCTCTGTATTAATAAGATGTTAAAGTTTGGCTCTTAATGAAGGCCAGAAAATGCATTTCTGTCTACTAACTTCTTAGCTGAGTTTTTATTCCTGGTTAGTATTTCACTCAGAGGCAAGCCATCGTCGGATGAAGCTGGTGATTGTATCCTGAATGAAATAAGGAGGCCACATATAATTTATAATTTTAAAATTCTCAACAGTAATGAAGCTGGAAATATCAAGCACATATATTTATTATATAAAGATCATTGGTGTGATCTAAGCCACAAAAAATCTAGAGTTTTGTGAAGGAACGATCACCTTTTGGCAGTTTTGAAACAATTATCAGCAGAGTTGGGGCTCTTCTGTTTTTCCTTTTCCGACAAAGAATTTTCATTCGCTGTATGATTTGGTGATTCCATTGTGATGACTTTGTCATTCTGAGGGGTTTGTTTCCTCATGTTGTTGCTGATTCAAGCAAAAAATTCAGAAATCCATTATTCTTTATATGTTTTGTATAATAATAAGATGTGAAACTTTCACTCACCAAGGTATAGAGCTGACAACTTTCTTGCACTGTTGTTTTTTCTTTGTTAGTTTTTCAATCGAAGTCAAGTCGTCGGTGGAAGAAGTTGGTGATGCGGTCCTGCATGAAATAAGAAACTCAGGATATCATCTAAAGAAATGTTAATTTCTTATGAGTAATTATTTAACAGCTCCTTACATTGCAGATGATTTATCCTGAATTGCTTTACGTTCTTCCTGTTGATGGATCGTCACATTTTCATCAGTAGCAGAGCTGCATAATATGATGAAGAAAGTTAACTGTATATAGAAAAAGCACTTTGGAAGGAGGAAGCTTATAGCTGTGACTTACGTATTCTCATCCTTCAATTGGAAAAGTGCCCTTTTAGGTGTCTTGGTTGTTTCATTAATCAGTCCAGAGATACTACTTATTATGAAGTCACCATCATTGCCATTGAACCTCTGTTTAGGCAGCCGAATGGCAAAATTTAACGTTTGCCCACAGAATGCTTCAACTGCAGTTGGCAAATTTCCATCTGCATTTGTGAGTGTTTTCAACAATTCAGAAGCACGATGGGGTATGTAATCTTCTGCTGTTTTTCCTATGAGGAGGAAGATAGCTTCGTCACCACCTTGTTGAACAATCATTCGAATGCGGTAGCTGCAATGAATTACGGGCCTACATATGAGAAAATGATACACATTGAGAAAGAAATTCAATATGAATTTAGACAATACCATTGCTTTGCTTCCAATGGCGATAATAGCTGGTCCTTTTCACACCAATAGTTTTGACCACATGTGCTGACGGCTTTATAACATTTTGAGCAACCAAGATATGTCCAATCCTTCTCTCCGTCTATGGCAGCTACTGTTGCTTGACATTTATACCTTCCATTCTACATGATACACATGTAACAGGCGTTAAATAGACAATAATGGGTAGTACTTAATATTAACAGTAATGGGAAGTACTGAATAGACAATAAAAATTAGATGATGATAGTGAAGACTACCGGTGAAGCACCCACACTGCGAAGGGTTATAAGTTCTCCGAGAGTTTTTTGTAATTCTCTTTCATGTTCAGCAGCTTTTTCAGGTGTTTCAAATTTAACGGGCAGCAAATCAACAATTCCAAGCTCATTGGAAGCCCTGTTGTAATTGAAATTTTAATGAATGCGTAAATAAATAATAATATATATACACACACGATAGGGTTGGTATAGTACATACGCTTGTATCAAGTCAGTGACATCTATAGATTGAGGGTTCAAAGTTATGAACGCAGCAGAAGATGTTGAAGCTGTAACACCTGGGCATTTCAGTCGAATTGGTAATATGATCAAGAACCAAAAAACTGATTATGTCAATGTTTAGTTATGAAAATTTTCTACCTTTGAACGGTTCAATCAAAAGACCGCGTAAAGCAACTATTACAGGTGAAGTCTTGGCAGTCTCGACCAATTCATCAGCGTTCAGCTGAGAAGCAAAGTCTCCCCACAATGTAATAGGTAAAACGACGCCCCTTTGTATGAAAAGTTTATAAATAACATAATTAAAAAGTGTCAGAGAGAAACTTACTAATTGAAATGGGGAAGTTGAAAAAGTACCTCTCATTTTTCAGTACTAATCTTTGTATAATGGTTGGACCATTCTTTGTATTCACATTATCAATTTTACCAATTGAGCTAAGCCAACCAATAACATCTGTTATGTTACATAACAAAATATTTGTTAGATCAAAGCTATTTATTTCTATAGGTTTTGGTAATCGATGAACATACATATATACATACATTTAGGGAGGAAATCTGACCTGATAACAACACATTAGATTTCAGTCGTTCTTTCAATCTTTCAAACGCACAGAACTCATAGCTATCTTGACAGAAGTCTGGATTCAAAGAAGTAACCTCTTCAAATTCAGTTTTCAAGCTGATAGCGATGCAAAACTTGTTTTGGCATGGTTGATAGTTAGCTTTAGCTTCCCGAACAAAAAAATCCTTTATTTTGTACACGGACCCAATGGACAGTTTAGATTCCAATTCATCAGCGTGATCACTGCTTGAAAGGCCATGTATGAGCATCCCCTGTCAACAGTATAAAAAAATATAAGATTAACATGGATTACCATCGGCAAAGATCTAGCCACATGATAAGAAGCATATTACAGTTTCATCTGTCCACAGCGTTCCATAATCGAACACCTTCCGAGGGAATGATGGATTTGTTGAACTCCAAGCGTGGAGCAGGCGAACTTTGATTACTGCAGAGGAATCACTAATCGTTAGTTCACTGATGAGCTTCATCGAGCCAATATGGTGTAGTGCTACAATGAGATAATTAGTAAGAAGAATACCCTAGGTACAAAGAGACGATTTATAGAAAACTTATAGGTGTCCCTGTGGACTAAAATCCTTTGTTGGAAAGGAAAACTAATTCACAAAACTTATACGGAATATGCTTGTACAACTTCCTATACAAATAGAACTACTATAAATATATATACCTTTATAATAATAAACTTCTATAACCTGATTGTGCTTTTGCTTAAAAAAAGCTTCGCTAGTACAGGAATCTCAAGGAGTCCTTTTGATTCAGTTCTCCTAATCAGTCCATTTATGGTTAGCCGATTTAGTCCATTTATGGTTAATGTGCCATAATGAATTACCTGGGGAGGCTTCTGTTCAACCATTCGTTGGGTATTCATCTGATTACTGAATGGTACACGGCTTCTATGGATTTCTTCAGAAATAAGTACTGTGTTCTCGAAGCCGATTCTATAGACCAATGAACGGACCGCCAATGCCGGTGTCGTCGATGCCATTCCTATGCGTGCCGCTTCCGTTGATCAATTGAAATGCGGGAGAGAAGAGGTTTTTAAGTGTAAGGATGATTATTACCTATATTATTTATGCAAAGGATACTCAGATTCACAAACCCACAAATTTGTAGGCCATAGCCAGAGAATGCCAGTTCACTCCTCTCAGTCGCATTCCCGAGCATTGGGATGCTTAACCTAGTAACTATTAAAAACAAACCTACTGAATAATGACATCACCCCCTTGAGTAAAAATGGAGTCACCTGAAGTCCTAGCCTCTTGCACCTGCAACTTGTACAGCTTCCCATGACTGTCTCCCTTCCACTCAAACTCATGTTCTCACTTTGACCCAATGTTTGTCTAGAACTCATCGGGCCAGAGTCTAAAATTAAAAAACCTCCATGGAAAATCATTTGAAGCCACCTAGCAGACAAACTTTCTACTGTTCAGTTCAACCACTTTCTTAATCCAACTCCAGATGGGAGGCAGTGAGAGTCAACTTTCATAAAGCATATCACTACATCCTAGTTAAGCTGCTAAGTCGATCGTCTAGTAAATGTATTGACTTTTGAATACGCCGCTAGCTACCTGAGGACAAAACAATTTTAAATACCCCAACTATATCCAGGGTGGAAAGGAAAAAAGAAACATGTAACATATATCATTGTTGGACTACTTAAAATGTAATCATATCATCTCAAACCATGCTCCAACATAGAAGAAGCTGCTCATTTATCAAAGAGAAGTGTCTGTGTAAAAAAAAGCTAGTTCAGACCATGCTTCAACATAGAAGAAGGTGCGGGAATTATCAAAGTGAAATGTCATACTCACCTCTTGGTAAAAGGACAATGGAGCCCACATTTTCTCCACGCAAATGACTCGACTCCCTGCATTGTTCCACTTACATTTGATGGAGAATGATTCATAGCTGAGGAGTAGAGGCATTGCTAGAGTGGTAAACCGCTCATTTGTGGATACCAACTGGTCCCTCTTCTTCTTCATCCTTAGTTATGTGCTGAGTCAAAGAACATAACTCCTTTAGTCAGTCTGAAAAAAATAGACACTATTACTTGAAAGCCAAAGCACATGGGGCAAGCAGGTTGTTGTGAGTTAGCAAGGAAAGGCTTCCACAACTTTTAGCAAGAGGGAGGAAGTTGTGTTCTAACTGTCAAAACAAAACTCATGAACGAACCCTTCTATATTTACCTGATAATAAACATGGAACTGCAAAAACAATTCTTCTAACTCATGGATAGATGGTTTCACGCTTAAGCTTATAAATGATTAAAGGGTTGTTTAGCAAATCATTCAACAATAAGTTTGGCCTAGATTAACCTTTCTACTTTGTTTCAAATGAAGTAGGCGTGAAGAAGAAATGGTATAATCTAAAGTGCTGAATCAATGAGGTATTTGATATAAAAGACGGATGAATGGATCCCAACCCCAAATGGTGGACTCACCGAAATCAAATAATCAAAGGTGCCACCGTGAGAGGGGGGAAATCAAAACCAGCGGTGGGTTGGGAGATGGTGGATCTGTCGTCACCACCTCCTCTCGCCGGCATGCCATTCAGTGGGTTCAGGGAGATGAGAGAGAGGGGAAATCGGGCGTCGTTCGTCGGCTTCCAGGTTCTCTGTCGCCATCGTCTCCCGCCGGCGTCCGTTCAGTGGTTTCGGAGAGGGAAGAGCAATCGAGAGGGCCAGGCAAGAACCAGTATACTACTTAAAAGAAAGAAAGAAACCATATTCACAGTTTCCTACACGGTCAATCGAACGCTAAACAGCTAGGGAGGCTTCTGTTGAAACATTCGCCGGGAATTCAGCTGATTGCTTCACCGGCTTTCGCCGGGAATAAGAATCGGAAACCTAACTCGAATTGTGTCCTCTTTCCATGCGTGCTCCATTCGTCTGGACGGATTCCTGATTTTCTTTGATTGAAATGAAGGGGAGAAGAGGTGTTGGACGGATTCGAACGGAAGGAGGGGGAGAGGATGGGTCGAATGAAGGAGAAAGAAAGAGGAGAAATGGGAAAAAGGAAAGAGAAGGAAGAGCGATGGGAGAAGACTTTCATGTTTTTCGATTGGAATGGAGGGGTCTGATGGAAAGAGAAGGTTGGAATGGCGGAAAGAATAGGAATCGGACGGGAAGAGGAGAGAGGGGTCGGACGACCGGAAGGGATTCTGCCTCCGCTGTTGTTGTTCAGTAAGAAGAAGGAGAGATGATGAGGAGAGAGAAGTGGTTGACAATAAACGAGTGACGTTTTAATGTTTTATTAAAAAAAAAAAAAAAGAGGCCAGGAGGAACGCATGCGGTGCGGCCAGATGCACCTGAGCTCGGGCCTGCCCAAAAGGTTATAACGGGCTGGGTTTGAGGCTCACGTAGATTCGTCCGCAGCAAAGTACCAAAATCCCATTGTGAACAGTAACGCGAGAAAATTTCGTGATGAACAGTGTCACGGGTGTTTTGGCTGCTTGTGCTTTTAATTAATGAATTTCTCAAACGAAGCATTGTCCAATCTTAATTAATTCAGACACAATTCTTCTCTGGCTATTTATAATTTTCTGGCCAAGCAACGATCTACTAACATCATCGGTAAGTTTCACATACAAAACAATTATATTGTGGGCCAAAAATTCTAACTAAATTCAAATGTTTTGGATATTTTTAATAGAAATAGTTGTCTTGTATCCATTTTGGTTATACAAAGACGATGGGACTAATGATAATTGTGTGACTACCATTCAACTGGAGGATATGATTTTATGTTCAACATTCACCCACACTCTAGGAGGAACATGGAGAGCATTAGATTAGATGGAAGCCTCAGCCAACCCATAAGGATGGTGTGTTTTCCATGGTTTTCAACATTTCTTATATTCAATTTTTGCTTATACGGTAACATGAACTCATCTACTTATGTATTGTATCTCGACTTGTAATTTTGGGTAAATATAATAAGAGGCATTAAAGGAAATGATTTTATTTTTCTTGTTCTCTAATTTAATTCACAATAGAATTGATCAGAGTATGAAAGATTTATTGTCATACATAATCTATTCATAACCACATGATATCATATATATACATGTGAACTTCCATAAGAGAGTAATTTGATATGATCGGACGAAGTTCCTCGACTGAAAGGAGAGGGACGGTGGCCCTGTGATCTACCAACTGCATACTTCCCACCCAACTTCGAAAATCCTCCATGCTAGTTGTCACTTTGCTGCAATTGGAAGTGTCTTCCGGAGCAAGAACAACATTAAAATCTCCTCCTACTATCCAAGGAGCCTTCCCAAAATAACAACAATTCAACTCTCAATGGATTGACAAAGAAGCAATCTCAATTAACAAGAAGAACCCTAAAATTCGGCAAAGTGTTTATTCTGTTTCAGGGTACCTACTTTGCAAGGTTGGTCCTCACAAATGGCTCGATGAAAATGCGAGAAGAAGGATTGGAAGTGAAGTCCGAGTGTTGCTCTACATGAATGAAGGCTTGATGGAGCAAGGACATGTCATTGAGATCATTTTCCAAAGCCCAAGTAGCTAAGTCAAAATCGGGAAACTGTCATTGAGAGTAATTTGACTTAATCTCGTCAACCACTTTTTATTGCGTAACTGATATGGAATCAGATATTCCAAAAAAAATTTTAACTTTTTTCAAGGTAGATATTCCAAATGTCATAAATGTCTATTATATGTGAGCCATAATAAAGGAGTTGGGACCATTTTCATTTTTCCAAAGTCATTCACGTAGTGAAAAGTGAAAACGATGAAAATGGAGCAGGCAATCTTAATGATGAAAACGGGTTATATATGTTGGAGCAATTATATGTACTGATCTAAGAAAGAAATCTAGTGAGGCTTTAGATTAGATCCATTGCACTTTGACGCCTCCATGTTCTATGAAAAGAAAAGGAAAGAAGATAAACCTTACGCGGATGATATAACTGCTGCTTTCCTCCCGTCACAGAAGAAAGAAGGAAGAAAATAAGATCGGGACTTTTAGAGAGAGATGGGTGAGGTGGTGAGTCGCTGCTAGGGTGGGTGGAAGAAGAGCCATCACTGTTGGATTGAAGGAAAGAAGAAGTAAGAAAAAAAGAGTTTGAGAGATATAGAGGAAGAAGTGATGGCCTCTTAAGGGTGTGGGTGGGGTGGGGGTAGGGTTTTTTCATTTGTGTTTGTTAGTTGATATATATATCCAATATAATATTACAAAGTGGTACTTATTAAATTCTATTTTAGTCATTATATTATTATATTATTATCTTATTTGTCTTATAATTAATATTTTATTGTTTATATAAGGTACCGGTTCTCTAACGGTTTTATATCGGCTCAATGTCGTTGGACCACTAAAGTGGGGGCCGTTCATGTTATCGGTTCATGCTCCGGTTCGGTTCTGACAACATTGCTACACAGTGAGATCAACCTATGAGGAATGGAGGATAAAACAGAACGAGCAAGAGGAAGAGGTCTATATCCCTGTGAACTGGACAAGATATTGGAAGATTCATATTGGAGATGGGTGAACAATTTTCTCTCAATAGGGAAGAATATACTGGATCGAACTCAACAATGATGTGATGAATGTCTGTTTTGTGGACTAATTGAAATGCAGGAGCATATATTCAGGGACTGTGCTTGGGTGAGAAGAGTCTGGCAACCTAGAATTCTAAGTTTGTTGTTCTCAATGGGTGAAGAGCTTACCTGTGAATCGTGGATGTGCCAGCTTTAGGAATCTGAACCCGATGAGAAGATTGTCGAGATTCTTGTAGCTTTGTGGTTTATCTGGGAAGAGCAAAACATTCAATTGTGGAATAAGAAAAAGAAAGAAGAATTTGAAATAATGGTGTGCGGTCAGATGGTTGGAAGAGCACCTAGAGAATAACAAGTAGGTCGAGAAGGAAACCTAGAGGAAACCGATGGGGTGGGAACCCACAGTGACAGTACCATACAAGATCAACGTTGATGCAGCTGTGTTGAAGGATCAGTGAACTGGCAGGGGAGTGGTGATTTGTGACATGCAGGGTTGTTTTTGTGGGGCGGCGGTTAAAAGGACGAGAATTCTATGGGGGCCGGCAATAGCAGAGACTCTTGCGATTGAATTTGGTTTGGAGCTGATGGAAAGATGGGGGATAAGGGGCTGTGTGCTGGAATCGGACTAATTGTTCACAATTTCTCAGCTGAAGCGGAAGGAAATTGAGAGGACAAGTTGTAAAATTTTCACTCGCTCCCTTCTCTCTTCTTTCTCGCTCCTTCTGACCTAGATCGGGTTTCCACGGAGGCGGCGGCAGGGCCGCGTTGGAGCCTCTCAATTGGGCTCATTTGTTTGGCGTGGGCGAGGGTAATCGGCTCCCATACGTTGTGCCGACTCTGGTGGATGGGGAGCTTGTTATTCCTCAGGCGGTTTGCGACGAGGGAGCAGTCAGATGGCGAAATGCGTTGGTAGGGCAATTCCTCATGGCGGCGCCTCCGATTGCTGTGATTCGTCACTGGGCTCAGAGATACTAGGGATGAGATGGATGAGTGTTTGTTTCAGTATTTGGTTCCAATATGTTCTTGTTTCAATTTGAGATTGAAGAGTTGAGTAGGTGGGTGTTTGAGAATGGCCCTTAGCATTGTCTGAACGTGCCTTTGTTTCTTCGCAAATGGGTACCAGGGATTCAATAAGTTAAGTTGGACTGTACTAAGTTGCCGATTTGGGTGCGCATTCAGTAGTTGTCGCTGGAGTACATGACAGTGGAAGGATTGAGTAGGGTTGCGAGCTTGCTGGGTACACCGTTGTGGATGGACCATGCAACCAAGCTTGGAGATCAGATGGGTACGACTAAGATGTGTATTGATATGGCTACTGACTCGCTTTTCCCAACTGAAATCTGGATTCGTCCGGAGGGGAAGGAGAGGATGCATTTATTTGTTCATTATCTAAGTCTTCCACCTCATTGTGAGCAGTGTGCGGAATTTGGTCATGTTATTGGGGAAGGCTTAGAATGTGGGAAGTCTGTTGCTACTCAGTTGGTTGTGGTTGAGGAAGAAGTTGTTGTTAAGGAAGATTCCATTGATAAGGGTAAGGCAGTAGAGGATGTGGCGAGAGTGCAGTCAGATGAAGGGGATTTTGGTTCTGGGGGTTCTAGTATTCTGGATACTCAAGGGATTGTGGGGGAAGCTGTTGCTGCCAGCTCTTCTACACCATTGAGGGATGGTCTGATGGATGAAGATGGGTTTCAGCTGGTGGTGCGTAAGGGGAAGAATGTGTCTGGTTGTGATCAAAGCGGCAATGTTAGAATTCCAACCTCGGCGGTTAGTTCTCGTGTGTCGTTAAATCCAAAGAGTATAGCGCTTGTGATTCCTGCCTCTCCAAAGAAGGGTGGGAAGAACATGAGGAATAAATGAAGTTTCTCTGCTGGAATCTCAGGGGTTTGAATGCCACTGAGAAACATAGATATGTAAATAAAAAGGTATTGAGGTTGCAGGTAGAGTTTTTTGCTATTTTAGAAACAAGAGTATTAAAGCATAATGCGGCAAGTATAAGGAATAAGCATTTTAGTAGATGAAAGCAGTTAGATAATTATAAGTATTCACCTTCTGATCGCGTTTGGCTGTTTTGGAAACCTCATTTGGTTGTTAGTGAAGTTGGAATGGGGGAGCATTATATCAGTGTTCGTATTCAGTCTGGCACAGAATCTTGTCTTGTTACTGTAGTATAAAGCCAGAATAAAGTGCAGGATAGGGCAAGGTTGTATGTTGAGTTGAGGCAATTGGGGTTAACAAGTGAGCCTGGCGTTTGGATAGGAGATTTCAATGCTATTGTTGAGGATAGTGAAGCCTCCAACCGGCCTAGTTTTAATTAGAGTATGGAGGATTTTCGTTGCCGGATACAGGATATGAAGCTTACAGATCATAGAACTTTGGGGTCGTGGTATACTTAGTTGAACAAACAAGCTAACAATCCTATTGCAAGGAGGATTGACAGGGCCATGGTTACTAAGAAGAGGCTAGATAGATTCCCAAATAGTCTAGTGCAGACCCTTGCCACTGGGGTGTCAGATCATTGTGGATTGCTTGTGCAGACTTACTCTAGGGTTACTTTGCTGCCAAAACCTTTCAAGTTCTTTTTATTTTGGAGGCAATACCCTCAATACGAAGAGTTGTTGAAGGAGGCATGGCAAATGGAGGCTACTGGAGAGCCATATCGCATTTTATATAGGAAACTAG